ACTTACACATTAATTTGAAAAAAAAAATTTTTGATAATATTTTTACTCAACAACCCAATTTTTACGATGTCTTACAGAATTCTTAGAAAGAAAAATTTACGACGAATTGAATCTAACCTCTAAAGAATTACTATTGTATGCTCATAAAAATAACAACAGGCCTCTCAAAAAACAGGTTAGACCGTAAGGGACGGTATGTGCATGCATCTCACCATAGTGATTCGTTATTACAACAGGAGGGAGCAAGACAGAAACTATCTTTGCGATTTGCTGGTTCTTCTTTATGGTACCCCATTATTCAGGTAAGAGTGAGGGAGAAAAAGGTTAGAGGTGCGAGTGAGATAGATAGTGACGCTATCTGGGATCGTGCTATTTAGGATAACAGTACGGTCAGTACGCGTCACTGCCTCCTGCCGTTACTACGCACCTCTCTCTTATTGTTACCATTGATCACGTACTACGATTTAAAGCTTTGTTTATTGGACTCGATTACTCTTTGTGCTCTGGACTTTGAAACGAACTCTTTACGACGACCTTTGCCTGTGTTTGGACAGTTTGTGTTTTGTGTGTGCTACCATGGCGACCTACACTCCGCAAGAATACGCAAATATGCACTACATTTATGGAGAATGTAGAGGTAATGGACGAGCTGCAGCGAGACTTTACAGAGAAAGGTATCCGAGGGCTACGCGATATCCCGACCATCGAGTTTTCATTAATGTGCACAGATCACTATGTGACGGGCGGTTCCCCAATCAAGTAGCTGGTGAAGGACGACCCGTAAATGACTTCATACGCGATGAAGTTTTAGAGGCGGTGTCGGCAAATCCAAGCATCTCTGTGCGAGGAATAGAAGCTGATACGGGGATACCGAAGAGCACAGCACACAGTATTCTCCAAAAAGAAGAATATCATCCGTACCACGTACAGCGAGTGCAAAGTCTTTTACCTCGAGACTATCCGAGCCGAGTCGCGTTTTGTGAAACAATCCTGCAAAAACATCGAGAAGACGAAAACTTTATCGACAAAATTTTGTGGTCAGATGAATCAACATTTAAGAAGGATGGCTACATGAACCTACACAACTTGCACGAGTGGCATGTGGAAAATCCGCACTTGATGCGAGAAGATAGATCCCAGTACCGGTTCAAAGTGAACATGTGGACCGGTATTCTCTGTGGGAATATTATTGGTCCATTTGAGATGCCCGAGAATTTGACTGGCGAATCATATTTAAATTTTCTTCAAAATGATTTGCCAAACTTACTAGAAGAGACCCCACCAGATATGTGGTTCCAACACGACGGCTGTCCAGCACATTTTCGCGTATCCGTTAGAGAGTTTTTGGACGAGCAATACCCGAACAGGTGGATTGGGCGATCAGGAACAATCCCGTGGCCAGCCCGCTCACCTGACTTAAATCCGCTGGATTTTTTTTTCTGGGGAACTATGAAGGAGCTCGTTTATGCGAAGCCCATTAATGACATCGCTGACCTTCGTGAGAAGATAACACAAGCAGTGCAGGTGATACGTCAAAAAAGTTACTCGCGAAACATAAAGCGGTCCTTTTTAAGGAGAGTGAGAGCTTGTATTGCCGCGGGTGGTCAACATTTTGAACATTTATTGTAATAAAATATCTTTAAACTAACATTCTTTGCTTTTATTCTACTGGGAACCCATCTACCTGTGTGTATTTCCTTCTTGCTCACTCTTGGAACCGAAGTAAATAATAGTAGTAACATAACAGTTTCTAAGATAAGAAAGGGTCCGACAGTTACCGTTAGTAGGTAGGCACTTCGTAAAAATTGGGTTGTTGAGTAAAAATATTATCAAAATTTTTTTTTTTCAAATTAATGTGTAAGTATTATACCTTTTTAAAAAGAGGAATAAACGCGTCAAAATTTGACGTCACTTGCCATACTATTTTGGTACATTTTTTTTACACTACAGTCGGTCAAAGTTGCGAAATTCAATAGTTTTCCATATCACCTTTAGTTAAAATAATATTTTATTTTAAAATGGTACAATAAGTACTTTATTTTTACATTCTATTTAGACACAGCAATACCCTAGATTACAAAACCTCCAAGAAATATCGAAATTATCAGCATTAGCAGTCACAGCATTCAAAAGTATGTCACAGGGTGCTCATTTCCCCTTTTTTTTTGAAATCAGTATAATTCTGTAAGTACATGGGGTGGATTTTTTAAAATATTTTTCTGAGTACTGTTAGAACTTGGGGCATCGTGGGAATCCAGTTAGACGCCAGGTTCTTGGACACCCTGTATAAACTCACAAATTTTTCGCATTTAATATTAGTAAGATAGTCGTAACTATTCGAATTGTAAGTATTTATAGTCACGTTTTTATAATGACTATCTTGAGACATACTAAATTAACTAAAAATCTCGGGTTACTCACGTGAGTATACTGAGAAAAGCTCTACTAGTTTCGAACCACAAAGGGATTCTTCCTCATGAGCAGAGTTCGCGGTCGCGGCGATGTCGCGCAGCCTACTGGCTAGCGTTGGCGCTCGCATCGGTGTTGCTACTTGCGCATCTATTTTATTATTTAAAGTCAGTGAAAAAATGCTTGGTCATATTTTTAAACAACATAATACACGAGTACAAACTTAACAACAGAGCTGCATACAGAGTGCTTAAAACCTTATTCTACAGCAATTGATAACTGACTATACATATATTATGGTTTGGTTTCACATCTCACTAAAAAACCAGACAGTAGATAATGTACATTCAAAACATACATTCACTATTAATCTATATAATATAAAAATAAATCCCTTTTTCCCTTGGTCACGGCATCACTCGTGAATGGCTGGACTGATTTCCTTAATTCATTTTTTATTGTATTTGTTAATATTAGGAGAAAGTTCTTTAGACAGAAAAAAAAAAACTGAAAATCCTACGGGAACGGGAGAAAACGGGATTACTCGTACGAAGTCGCTGGCAGAAGCTAGTAAAATAGCATTTACACTCATTTACAATAGCCAACATCACTAAAAAACACGTCATCTATTGATTCCATATAAAACTCAAAACTATAACAGCTCAGGAAACTTATTCCATCGATCATATTCCGCAATAAACCACACTACGAATCGACTGCCATCGTTCCCTACTCCCCCAGTGATCATAAACGGGGCCTGCCCCGGGGCGCTGAGCCAACTAACACGATTTGTTCCCGCGCTCCTCGTACTGGTACACTTTCATTTCTCATTGTATTTATTTTGTTTCTTAAGATTTGTTTTGGATTCGTTGGTCGATTGGTGACAATGGCTTACTCCATTTTTATATTAACTATCGTGAGACATATTAAATTAAATAAAAATCGCGGGTTCTCACGTGAATATACTGAGAAAACCTCTACTAGTTTTGAGCCACAGAGGGGCTCTAGTTGATGCGCAGCCTACTCAGTATCGCAGCGACCGCGCACGCTGCTCATGAGGAAGAACCCCTCTGTGGTTCGAAACTAGTAGAGCTTTTTTTAGTATATTCACGTTAGTTACTATACTCCATTAGGAGTAAGAGGTATTTGATTTGATTCTGAAATCAAGTAGTAGACCTAGGTAGACAATCTATACTCTGATTGTTTCTGGTTAGATACACGTACTATCATAGCTAATTGGGCGTCCGGTAACCTCACACACACGACGAAACACAACGCAAGCGTTGCTTCACGTTGGTTTTCTTCTCGGCCGTGGTATCACTTCGGTCGAGCCGGCGCATATTCGTGCCGAAGCATAGCTCTCCCACACTTAAAGTTATTGTTATTAAGTTCAGTTATTAATAGACAGATTAGTTGGAGTTTCATGCAAAGCATAAAAGGTAAGGCCTTGAAATTGATTCCGGAATCGCGCAAATCTGTACTAATATTATAAAGCTGAAGAGTTTGTTTGTTTGTTTGAACGCGCTAATTTTCGGAACTACAAGTCTGATTTGAATAATTTTTTTTGTGTTAGATAGCGCATTTATCAAGGAAGGCTATAGGCTATAAAAAGTTACGCTAAGACCAATAGGAGCTGAGCAGAGCATGTGAAGAAGAAGAAGTAGCTAGTGATGAATGTACTGAATTTCGAACGCAATGACAAGCCCGGGGCTATGTATAACGACATCTTCATATACATGGACCAGAGAACATGACTGGTTTCTAGTATTACATTTTTATTTGCACCTCAGCCTACACCTTAGAGGAATTCAAAGCGTAATGTTACATTATGTTTATGTGTTTGGACGGTCACATAATAGTGTTTAGTCTATAGAGACGTTGTGTCAACTTTTTCAATGCAATTTTTAGTTTTCTTTGATTAGAATTAGAACAATGTTTATATGTATATATGTATGTATGTATGTATGTTGATCGTGTGTATGTTGACTATGTTATTTCGAGATTGTTGTTTGACATTTTTGTCCCACGAGTGGAGGTTTTGTGTTGTTAGTCATTGATGTTTCATAGTTTTTAATAAGATTGTGATCTTGTGTGATTGTTCGGTTTGGCATTCGACATTTGGTTGTGGGATTGTTACGTTCTATTTTGTGAAAAAAAAAACATAAACTGCCTGCCTTGTTGGCCGAGTGGTTGCAAGTGCGACTGCCGGGCAAGGGGTCTCGGGTTCGCTTCCCGGATTGGGCAAAGTATGAAATTCTGCCCGGTATATGGCAATAGGCTCACCCCGTGTTACATGGGACTCATAACATAAATACTGAAAAGTGGGTGTTATATTGTACAGTGGAATTAAGTGCCGTAATGTGTACCTACTTCTGCCTACCCCTTCAGCAATAAAAGGCGTGATGTTATGTCATTGATGACTGAGAAAATCATCCAATCACTTCTCCCGCCTTGGGTGAGGAGTTTAAAGCAGTCGTTTTTTTTAAGGGGGGAATATCATCGAATGCCTGCTCACGCCTGGGTGAGGCGGTCTACGGGTCAGTCTTCATTATTCATAATTGGAACTTAATTTAATTTTCTCCTCTTTCCAGATAAAATCCGCAAGAAGTATGCAGGTCTGGGCGACACGGTGGTGTCGGTCCGGCTGGAACGGTCGCCGCGCGCCGGACTGGGGCTCAGTCTCGCCGGACATCGGGACCGGAGCCGTATGGCCGTGTTCGTGTGCGGCTTGCACCCGGCCGGCGCGGCTGCTAAGGCTAATCCACCTGTTAAAGTTGGAGATGAGATTCTTGAGGTGAGTGAATTCAAAATTATGATGTAGATATTCATTTGTTTTATTGTATCAGTTAAGTTTTCACTAACTAATACTCAAATCAAGTAAAATGCAAAATATATCGAATATCACACTTTGGCAATGCGTAGAGACGTAGCTTCGTTGTGCATTTTCTATTGCTTATACCACAGGGAGTGCTCTGAGGAATTGTTTGACCTGATGCCTACCGCATCTTTTCGCCATCGACTCTCACGACAGCACACGACACACGCATCCCCATCATATAGATGGTTGGCAGGCAACAACTGTGCGCTTCTCACGTAGCTTTCTGACTCGCACAGCAAAACTGTGGAATGATCTGTCGTCGGCGGTATTTCCGAGCCGATACGACCTTCAAACCTTCAAGAATAGAGCGTACTCATTTGTGAAAGGCCGGCAACGCACCTGTGGCTTCTCTGATGTTGCGGGTGTCCATGGGCGGCGCTGATCGCTTACCATCAGGTGATCCGTCTGCCCGTTTGCCTCCTATTCCATTAAAAAAAACATCATATTTGTCGTAATCAGAACTATAAAAAAATATATTTTTTAAATCCATTTCTTAAGAAATGCCCTAGAAGAAGTAAGGTGCGTTTGGAATGTACCTTATAATTAAATAGATCGGACTAACTTACCTGTGACGTCCGATCCTCAATTGTGTAGGTAGCGTCATCCTCGCTAATTATACTAGTAGTAGGCACTAATCTGGGCACGCTGTCACAATATTTAAAGATGAACACATTCATAAAAAAAATATTTATACTCTATGGTCATCTCACTGGCAACATCATTTACTTCAAAGCACCTGCAACTGCAACACAACTCGACCAGGGGTAAAAATAAACATGTTTATTATCCGGGAAGGGTTGGGACCTAGCGAGGATGACGCTACCTACACAATTGAGGATCGGACGTCACAGGTAAGTTAGTCCGATCTATTTAATTGTATAGGTAGCGTCATCCTCGCTAATTATACTAGTAGACGTTCAAAGAAGGAGTTGTGTTGACAAACAACACTGTTTAATCATTGAACATTGTTGCACTTAAACAAGATATATGACATTGTCAATAACATCAATATCTCACGAGTACTATATAGTACTAGTAAAAACTTAAGCAATAATCAAATTACGTTTATAATTTCCCCAAGATGTAAGCCACTAAACCATTATTAGATATAATAGCTACTTATGGTTATGGTATTGTTTTCAATCATTTTTATCAAATAAAAATACTTATAAAATTAAATACATTTTAAAAATAGTATTAAAAATAAACAGAAGCCCAAAGCACGGGTTATCTTAGTTTGGGTTCCTGACTTTCATCATTGTATTGTCAGGTAAACTGCATTAACCCTATGTAGAACCAAAGTGAAGTGAAGAGAAGAAACAAGCTTATGTCAATATTATAAGATTAATATTAAGATCTACATCATTATGTATTGTGATGGAAAAATAATTAAATGTCCTTATTTATTAATTTAATTATTTAGTAAGCATAGCAACAATATTATTATCTTGAAATTCTGGTGTCCACTACACCAACTATAGGTACACCTACTATGTACGTTTTGAACTATAACGTTGTTCAAATTCAGTCTATTGCGAAAATTTAACGTCTTTCAATAGGTTGTTTTCTTCAAAATTATCAGTTTCTTTTTTTTTTTTTTTT